CACTAACATCCCTTATCATAAAAATCTTTGAAAGGGTCCTAAGAAGCAAGATCACCACCCATCTAGAAACCCATCAGTTACACAACCCAGGGCAACATGGGTTTAGAACAGGTCGCCCTGTCTGTCCCCAACTATTGGATCACTACGACAAGGTCCTAAATGCACTAGAAGACAAAAAGAATGCAATGTAATATATACAGACTTTGCAAAAGCCTTTGACAAGTGTGACCATGGCGTAATAGCGCACAAAATGCGTGCTAAAGGAATAACCAGAAAAGTTGGTAGATGGATCTATAATTTCCTCACAAACAGAACACAAGAGTAGTAGTCAACAGAGTAAAGTCCGAGGCGGCTAGGGTTTGAAAAGCTCTGTTCCACAAGGCACAGTACTCGCTCCCAGTGTTCCACAAGGCACAGTACTTGCTCCCAGTGTTCCACAAGGTACAGTATTCGCTCCCATGATCCACAAGGCACGTATAGCTCCCATCTTGTTTTCCCCATCCTCATATCTGACATAGACAAGGATGTCAGCCACAGCACCGTGTCTTCCTTTGCAGATGACACCCGAATCTGCATGACAGTGTCTTCCATTGCAGACACTGCAAGGCTCCAGGCGGACATTGCAGACACTGCAAGGCTCCAGGCAGACATTACAGACTGTGCAAGGCTCCAGGCAGACATTGCAGACACTGCAAGGCTCCACGCAGACACTGCAAGGCTCCAGGCAGACACTGCAGACACTGCGAGGCTCCAGGGAGACATTGCAGACACTGCAAGGCTCCAGGCGGACATCAAAACCCAAAACTTTCAATGGGCTGCAGAAAACAATGTGAAGTTCAACGATGAGAAATTTCAATTACTCAGATATGGTAAACACGAGGAAATTAAAACTTCAGAGTACAAAACAAATTCTGGCCACAAAATAGAGCGAAACACCAACGTCAAAGACCTGGGAGTGATCATGTCGGAGGATCTCACCTTCAAGGACCATAACATTGTTTCAATCACATCTGCTAGAAAAATGACAGGATGGATAATGAGAACCTTCAAAACTAGGGAGGCCAAGCCCATGATGACACTCTTCAGGTCACTTGTTCTTTTCTAGGCTGGAATATTGCTGCACACAAACCACCTTTCAAGGCAGGTTGAAATTGCTGACCTAGAAAATGTACAGAGAACCTTCACGGCGCGCATAACGGAGATAACACACCTCAATTACTGGGAGCGCTAGAGGTTCCTAAACCTGTACTCCCTGGAACGCATGAGGGAGAGATACATGATTATATACACCTGGAAAATCCTAGAGGGACTATTACCGAACTTGCAAAACGAAAATCACTCACAACGAAAGCAAAAGACTTGGCAGACGATGCACCATCCCCCAATGAAAAGCAGGGGTGTCACTAGCACGTTTTAAAAGACCATACAATAAGTTGTCAGGGGCCCGAGACTTTTCAACTGCCTCCCAGCACACATAAGGGGGATTACCAACAGACCCCTGGCAGTCTTCAAGCTGGCACTGGACAAGCACCTAAAGTCGGTTCCTGACCAGCCGGGCTGTGGCTCGTACGTTGGATTACGTGCAGCCAGCAGTAACAGCCTGGTTGATCAGGCTCTGATCCACCAGGAGGCCTGGTCACAGACCGGGCCGCGGGGGCGTTGACCCCCGGAACTCTCTCCAGGTGCTCTCCAGGTACTCCCACCGCTGTCACCACTTCCACCAATACTACCACCATATTACAACCCAGGATTCCAAATGGCCTGTTACCCCGGGTGTAATGGGAGCAAATAAACACAGTAGAAAAAGTTTAGACTTATATTATCCTTCACCAATTTAGAACAGCAATATGTACACAAAGTACCAGTGATAAGTATAGTGCACTCCACGGTAAGCAAAGCAGAAATAGAAGCCACAAGATAGCAGACCGTGCTTCAACCAGCTATAGAATGGGAATGACAAGGGCAGACAGGAGAGTGGTACCCACATAACCTCTGCGATTGCCAAAACCATCATCTTATTGGCTAGAACCTGGTCACTAGTTGAACGACGGGGCCCCATCATCAACTCTTAGCAACCTGGTTCACTGGTTGGGGAGATAGCCTGTAAATGAGGGTGTGTCCATGCGCCAAAATAAACGTTACGTACTCTTTGCATGCCACACACCACTATCCCCACTAGCATCACCACTACCACTACTACCACCACAACTACTTCCACTGCCACTGCTAATACCACTTCCACCACCACCAGTACTAAGATTACTACAACCACAACTAATACTACCAGCACTGCTAGTACTTCCACAACTAACCACTACTGCCACCACCACTACTACCACTGCTACTACCACCACCACCATTACTTTCACCACCACTACCACTACTACCACCCCCAAACTTCCAACACCATTACCACTAACATACTACCACCACCACCACTACTACTACCATTACTACTACCACCACAAATCATCACCACCACTACTACCACCACTACCACCATTACTACCACACTACTACCACTACATAACCACCGCCACTACTACTATTATCACTACTACCACCACTACTACCACTACTACCACCACCACTACTACTACTATCACTACTACCCCCAAACCACTACTCCCTACTACCATTACTACTTCCACCACTATCATCACCACCACTACTACCACTACTACCACTACCACCACCACCACCTACACCACCACTACTACCACCACTATCATCACCACCACTTCCACCACTACTACCACCACACTACCACTACTACCACCACTACTACCACCACTACTAAAACTACACGACCACTACTACCACCACTACTACCACCACTACTACCATCACTACTACCACTACTACCACCCACTACTACCCCCAAACAACTACCACCACTACTACAACCCTTACAACCACCACCAAAACTGCCAGTACCACTACTACCCCCAAACTACTACCACTACTACCACCACTACTACCACCACTACTACAACCCTTACTACCACCACCAGTACTACCATACCAACCACTACCACCATCACCACTACCACCACTACCACCACCACCACTACCACCACTACCACCATCACCACTACCACCACACCACCATCACCACAAACCACCCTACCACCATCACCACTACCACCACTACCACCACCACCACTACTACCACCACCACTATCATTACTATTACCACCACTACCACCACCACCACTACCACCACTACCACCATCACCACTACCACCACACCACCACACCACCACTACCACCACTACCACCATCACCACTACCACCACTACCACCATCACCTTTACCACCACTACACCATCACCACTACTACCACTACCACCACCACCACCACCACTACTACCGCCACCACTATCATTACTATTACCACCACTACCACAAAAAACCACCAACTACCACCATCACCACTACCACCACTACCACAATCCCCCACTTTCCCACCACTACCAACCATCACCACTTCCACCACTCCCACCATCACCACTACTACCACTACCACCACCACCCCACAACTACCACCACCACCATCACACCACCACCCCACTACCACCACACCACAACACACTACCACCACTACACCATCACCACTACCACCACTACCACCACACACTACACCCAACCACCACTACCACCACTAACCACACCACCATCACCACTAACCACACTACACCACTACAACATTACACTACCAAACATACCACTATCACAACTACACCACTACCACCACAAACCACCATCACCACTACCACCACCACACCACCATCACCACCACCACCACTACCACCATCACCACCACCACCATAACCATCACCACTACCACCACTACCACACCCAACACCACTACCACCATCCCCAACACCACCACCACTACCACCATCGCCACCACCACCACTACCACCACCACCACTACCACCATCACCACTACCACCACCACCACCACTACCACCATCACCACTACCACCACAAACCACCATCACCACTACCACCACTACCACCATAAACCCACTACACCACTACCACCACCACCACTACTACCACCACCACCATCCCTACCACCACCACCCTACCACCACCACCACTACCACCACTACCACCACCCCCACTACCACCACCACCACTTCCACCACTACCACCACTACCACTATCACCACAACCACCACCACCCCCACCACTACCCACCATACCCCCCACTACCAACATCACCACTACCAACACCCCCCTACCACCATCACCCCAAAACCCCAAACCCACCACCACCGCACCACTACACCCCAAACACCACTACCACCATCACCACTACCACCACCCAACCACCATCACCAACTACCACCACTACCACCCCACCACTACCACCACCCTACCACCTCACCACCCACTACCACCACCACTACCACCATCACCCCACTACCACCACCACTATCCCCACCACCACTACCACCACCACTACCACCATCACCACCACCACCACTACCACCACCACCGCTACCACTACTACTACCAACACCCAGGTGTTGTACAATGTGCATAAGAGTCAAGAATAAGAGTATTTAGAGCCACTGCCTTTGATCAAGAGCTCTTAGAGGCTCCCAGGCTCCGGCTCCTGGATCCTGAACCATGCTCCGCCGCCTTGGATCAACACCAGCTGAAGATAGAGCCTCTGAATGAATGTCTGCAATCAATTATAAGCCTTATTATTGGCCTCAGAGGCCACTGCCTTGGATCAAGTGCCGCCGTCTTGAATGATGAGCCTGCAAAGTCTCCCTGGCTCTAGCTCCTGGACCTTGGATCGCGCTCTTTTACCTTGGATCAAAACAGCTGGAGATATAGCCTTTGCAGGAATATCTTGAGTGTATAATAGGCCTCAGGAGCTACTGCCTTGGATCAAGAGCTATTAGTAGCTCGTAGGCTCAAGCTCCTGGGTCGTGTACCCCGCTCCACCACCTTGGATCAAGTCCTGGCCAGCTGTGCGCATCTCGACCTTCACTTATCATTGTTTACATCTGGCGGCGCCTGGACACGACTACTCGACCATTTTCCTCTATTTTAACTATTTTGGCCATTTTGGGCGGTTATGGAGCGCCGGGAGGAGGGCGAGTGTTCCGACGCCCACGACGACAGTTTTGACGTGAGTGTGGGCGGCGTGGGCGGCCTGTGGGCGGCTGTGTGGGCGGTAATATGACCCCCCCCGAGGGTGGATCTCCTGGTCGGGTCCGGAGGCTGGAGGGTTTTTGATGCGAGGAAGGGGAGTGGGGGTGGTTAAGAGGGTTTAATGGGCGGCTGGGGTGCCGCCCACACCACCCAGCCGCCCAGTTACCCTTAATAAGGGGCGGAAATTCTCCTTAATAACTTAAGGGGGTAATTCTAAGGGGCTTTTGATCCGAGGAAGTTGAGCGGGGGTTAGAGGGGGATGTGGGCGGCCCGGGGGCCGCCCACACGCCCATTTACCCGTTAAAAAGGGGGAATCCCCCCTTAAGGGGCTTCTATGGAAAAAGGAGATCTTGATCCGAGGAGGTGGAGCTGCTGCTCCTCTTCCTCGGATCAAAACCTGTGTTTACCCGTAACCAGGGGGGCTGCCAGGTCCCCTACGGGCTTAGTGCTCCAATGAATGATAATTATAAAAAATTAATTATTAAATTACTATTATTAATTATTATTAAATTAAATTTTATTATTATTATTATTATATTTTTATTATTAAATTTTTATTATTATTTTGGATTAACAACTGGACCGTCCAATCAGAATTGTCCGCTGGTCCACTAGATTATTAATATTAATTATTATTATCCTTCTACTTTTAATAATAATTATAATTATTTAATAATTACAATAATATTTGTAATAATTATAATAATAATTATTATTATCCCTCTACTTTTATTAATAGCAATTATGATTGTAATTATAATTATAATAATTACAATAATAATAATTACAATAATAATAATAATAATAATAATAATGTGAGAGCGGACTAAGGGCGGAACTCAGTGTTGATTGTTGACCAGAAATTGATTTTCCGCTGTGGCGGCGACATCAATTTTAATTGGTGTAGCGGCCAGCGGACTCCCTCGGCCGTTTGGCACAAGTCAGTTCGCCCGGTTGACCTTAGAGTATGATTCAAATTGAATCGACTTCTTCCGTTAAGTTCAGAATTATAATAATTGTAATAATGTACGATTCAGATGTAATAAAATTTCCACTGAATTCAAAACGAATCTTCGGATCATAACTGACATTCGATTCAGATTGAATCAGCTTTCCGCTAAATTTCAAATGATTCTACCCCGTGGACTTAATCGTTATTTATGTCCGCTGGATCAATCCAGCGTAAATAACGCTTGATTTGGATTGAATCAACTTTCCACTAAATTCAAAGCCAATCAGCCCAGCGGACATTAAGAATGACGATCGTCGATGGTACAAACATTTCCATTTTCAACCCTCGTCCGGTCACGGATTCTTTTGTTGTGTCCAAAAATTTCCAAAATTCGTTACCCTGGGGTTTGTTCCATTTCCGTTTTGAATGCGTTGGTGTTTGTACGGCGGGAGAAGCACCGCTTCACGGTTCATACAACACCATCTGCATTTGTTATTTATTTGTAACTTGCAATGTTTACGATATTTTCAACCTATGTTATTTACAATATTTTCAATTTACAATGTTTACAAGATTTTCACCTAATGTTATTTACGATAATAATAACACAGGTCGCCTACAAGCCGGTGTCTCGGCCAGACTCGACCAAGTACCGCTATGCGGCCCGAGAGCTGCCATCCAGTGACACGGACGGCTCGTCTGGCTCCGATTCAGACAGCCCGGCCACGACCAAGCGCCGGCGGCCCAACCTTGGCCCCATGGACATCTGTGGACCTCAGAGGTAAATTTCTGGCCCTTGGCCGCTCTTTATACAGTCAGTCCTCTCATAAAATTCCTCTATTCACTCTCAGTGTATATACACTATGGTGTAGTAGATAGACTTGAAACTTTATCAACCAGTGATAATAATAATAATAATAATAATAATAATAATAATAATAATAGTAATAATAATAATCATTATTGTACAGCGGTGACCCCAGAGTATGGAGTGTGGACAGCGCTGCCAGACAACCATCGCGACCCCGGCGCCGCAACAATGTTTGGTCTACTGTCATGGAAGAACAGGTAGGCCTAGTCAGGTCTAGGGTAGGCCTAGGGGTTATCTGTAGGCCTAGAGGTCTAGGGTAGGCCTAGGAGTTTGGTAATTCTAGGGGTCATGGGTAGGTCTGAAGGTCTAGGGTAGGCCTAAGGGTCAAGGGTAGGTCTATGGGGTCTTGATCCAGGGAGTGGAGTTTGTCTCGATGCCTCCTGGACCCCCAATGGGTTTAGTGCTTTTACTGACTATTTTAATAGTAATAATAGTATCAACAATAGTAATAATAATAATAATAGTAATAATGGTAGTAAATAATAATAACAGTAGTAATAATAATAGTAATAATAATAATGGTAATGTAATAATAGTAATAGTATTATAATAATGGTAATAATAATAATAGTAATAATGGTAATAGTAATAATAATAGTAATAGTAATAATAGTAATGATATTAATATTTGAGTTTGTGAAGGCTTACTCAGCCCTGTAACAACTTCAGACAGTATTACTCAGGCTGGCTCCTCCTCAGGAAAATTAGTGAATAGAAAAAGAAATAATAACAGACAAACATAAACACTTTATTATATAGAAAATATAAAATGTAAAACAATTAAATATGAAATATTAATCCTACATTAAAGAAAATGAAAATTGAAAAAAATAAATGATAACTGAATTCAACGCTAATATAAAACTTGGGTGTCTGGTGTTGGTGACACTGTGTTGTTGAAATTGTAGCCGTTGCTGATGATGGGGGGGGGGTCGCAGGTGTTGGTGACCACCACTGGCTAGATCTTCACAGATTATTGCCGTGAGTATAATATCCCGATGACAGGAAAGCAGGTTCTTTACCGCTGCAATGATGTGGGGTTATGTCCTGCAATTTCATACAGGTGCACAGATACTTCATTACAAAATGGAGAAGTCTCTGGACGTTAGTCCTTCTCCTGTTCTGCTCGTTGATTGACAGGTGACCCTCACTGTCATCCAAGAGTAGTGTTGGGAGCTGTGAGTCGAGTGATTTACTGTTTGACCAGAGCCCCACACGTCACCTTTCGAGGGGAGGGGGTGGAAGAGGGAAGGGAAGGGATAGCGGGAGCTAGACTGACCCTACGTTAACAAGCAGCCGGCAGTCAAACTATCACTTTCAGGGAGGGGGAGAAAAGGCGGGAAAAACTGGAGCGTGACTTACCCTACCTTAACTAGTAGCCGGTAAGGAAACTATCGTTACTCTATCTACTCCTATCTATTGAACTTTTCCCTCACAGAGTTATTAATGATAATAGATATTAAAACACTGAAAGTCAAGATCCCGGGTCTGGAACTTGTCCACAACCTCCAAGAATTTAAAAATAATATATATATATATTTTCTAATGAAATGATAGAGAATCTTTTTCTGAAGGTACAGTGGACCCTCGACCAATGATATTAATCCGTTCAGAGAGCTCATCGTTAATCGAAATTATCGTTAGTCGAGTTAATTTTCCCCATAAGAAATAATGGAAATCAAATTAATCCGTGCAAGACAACCAAAAGTATTGAAAAAATTTTTTTTACCACATGAAATATTAATTTTAATACACACAAACTGAAAAAGACATGCACAGTTACATGACACTTACCTTTATTGAAGATCTGGTGATGATTGATGGGATGGGAGGAGGGGAGAGTGTTGATGGTGTTAGTGTTTAGAAGGGGAATCCCCTTCCATTAGGACTTGAGGTAGCAAGTCCTTTTTCGGGGTTACTTCCCTTCTTCTTTTAATGCCACTAGGACCAGCTTGAGAGTCACTGGACCTCTGTCGCACAACATATTTGTCCATAGAGGCCTGTACCTCTCGTTCCTTTATGACATTCCTAAAGTGTTTCACAACATTGCCAGTGTCACAATTAAACACTTGTTCAGGTTTCAGTCCTTCACTGTCTATGTACTCCTTGAATTCCTGCACATACTTTTCAGCCACTTTGTGGTCCGAACTGGCAGCCTCACCATGCCTTATCACACTATGTATGCCACTACGATTCTTAAATCTCTCAAACCAATCTTTGCTGGCCTTAAATTCACTCACATCACCACTAGTTGCTGGCATTTTTCTAATTAAATCCTCATGCAACTTCCTAGCCTTTTCACATATGATCGCTTGAGAGATGCTATCTCCTGCTATCTGTTTTTCGTTTATCCACACCAATAGTCTCTCAACATCTTCTATCACTTGCGATCTCAGTTTTGAAAACATAGTTGCACCTTTGGCAAGAACAGCTTCCTTGATTGCCATTTTCTTGCCCACAATAGTAGCGATGGTTGATTGGGGTTTTGTGTACAGCCTGGCCAGCTCGGAGACTCACACTCCACTTTCATCCTTAGCAATGATCTCTTTCTTCATATCCATAGTAATTCTGACCCTTTTTACTGTAGGGTTGGCACTAGAAGCTTTCTTGGGGCCCATGGTGACTTATTTTGCAGGTGCAATCACTAAAAACGCTGTGATAATATGAAATGTTCCGATTGTATGTTTGGATGGGACCGCGGTGGCTGGCTGGCTTGTAAACACTGGCCACAAGTGGACGCGTCTCAGACGGAACGAATCGTGTTGGTCGAGTTTTTTAGCGCTAGTCGAGGCAAAATTTTTGCGTTAAAATGTATTGCTAGTCGGATTTAACGTTAGACGATGCCATCGTTGGTCGAGGGTCCACTGTAATAAGAAAAAAGTGCAAAATTTGATGGCAAATTGGCAAAATTACGCTTTTGCAAATTTTGGTGCATCAGCGATATTTATGCATCTGTGGTTTGTTCCAATTGACCAAATTCTGAGCTGTTTCACTAGTACAGTGATACCTGGGGTTTCGAACACCTCCCAACTTGAATAATTATATAAGTGGATTTTTATCAGTGGTTTTGTAAGTGTATTTCTGGGGGTCTAAAATGGACTAATCTAATTTACATTATTCCTTATGGGAACAAATTCATTCAGTGTCAGTACTCGAACAGTCTTCTGGAATGAATGAAGTTCGTAACTCAAGGTACCATTCTGTATCTTCTATTTTATCGATTGAGCACAAGAAACTGTCCAATCAACTATTTCATCCACCCAATAAAGTGATTAGAAATTGGTAATTTGTCCAATTAAATACAGATTTCAGAATACAGCTTCTCACTTAATGACAGAGTTGCATTCCCATGACTGCGTCGGTAAACAAATTCGTTGCTAAGCGAGGAGCATACTGTAATGGTAGTGGGTTTGTTTTTTTTTGTTTGCGTGCTTGCTTCCAAGTGTTTCTGGATCCTGTCTCGTCTTTGTTGTCTGCTCCTGCTGCTTCATTTGGGAAATTCTGCTTTTACTAGGAGGTCCCTCAGTGACTTGGCTTTTTTCCAGGCCATCATTGGGGGTCTTGTTGGGAAGAAAGTCCTCCAAGATGCTCCTCCAAATTCTTTATCTATCCATTCCCATAGTTCCCCTAGTTGTGTCTCATGTTTGAGTAGAGGGCTGAACATTGATGGAAGTATGTTAGCTGTACAGGTCTCCCTCAACATTCATGTTTTCAGCTTTCGCGGGCTTCACACATTTGCGAATTCCCAGCCGCCAAATTCCCAGCTGCCAAATTCCCAGTCGCCAAATTCCCAGCTGCCAAATTCCCAGCCGCAAAATCATATTTAATTTTCCCGCCACCCACGCATCCCTACTACAATCCCTCCGACCCCCGCAACAGGCAGCCAGCCCGCCTGTCACTCACTCAAGTCATCCTCCAGCCAGTGATGCTGGTAGTGAAGACTTAGAATCCACACACTAGACTCATCATGCTGTGCATTTACACTCCATATATTCATGACTGCATATTGGAATGGCCATTCGGACAGGTATTGGATGGTGACGTTATTTGTTTATTCTTGAACACGGCAAAGAATCAAACATTTCTGCTGCTGCTACTGCTAATAATAATAATAATAATAATAATAATAATAATAATAATTGGATATTGGATGGTGACATTATTTGTTTACTCTTGAACACGGCAAAGAATCGAACATTTCTGCTGCTGCTACTGCTAATAATAATAATAATAATAATAATAATAATAATAATTGGATATTGGACGGTGACATCATTTGTTTACTCTTGAACACGGCAAAGAATCGAACACTTCTGCTACTGCTAATAATAATAATAATAATAATAATAATAATAATAATACGATAAAATTGAAGGAAATTGTACAAAACTATGAGGGTTGAAGGGGGTTTTGACATGCTCAGCGCGAACGAAAAATTTTTTCCGAAAAAAATTCACAAACTGAGTTAATCTTATAGAAAAATAGCTTAACTCTCTGGCAACACAATGGTACCAGAATCATTGTTCTGCGACATTCCTACAAGGAATTATGGTCATTTAAATACACCTAGGGTGACGTCACCACCCGCGGCAGGTGTGCTCACCTGTCGTCAATTTATTTTTTTTTTTTCCCTTTTTTTTTCGTGTATTTACTGTATTATTCTTTCTAAGATAATAATTGACGATTTGGTATCATAATACAGTGGGTGGGACTTATACGTAGAGTTCCAACCAACCAGAACTCCCGACACCATTTTGCTGAGTCTTGCTGACGTCATGGAAAAAATTTCCCGTCTCGGGGGTGGCCGGGGAATATGGCTCAATATAACACTATTATAGCTTCTACGGCTTATTTATCTATCACAATTGATCTAATATGACATAATAAACAATATAAATAACAAAGAAGTATGGTAAATACTCCAGAATGAATAATATATGGAATATTCCCAGAGCGCTCCATAGGGAATAATAGATTCCCATTCTCAGAGAGGGCTTACATTCTCTTTCTCTCACCTCCAGGGTCCTTATATTAGAGAAAACGAACATGGTTAACTATGATATACACTCGTAATGCAGTATAAGACTGAGAAAAATGTTATTTTCTCGAAAAAAAAAAAAAAAAAAGGTGGTCCGGCTGTTTCGCGGATTATCTCGGAAGTAAGTATTCACATATATGAGCAAGTAACTAAGTTAAT